TTAGAAAGAAATTCAGGCATATTTTCCACTAGCTCCTTTTTTTTAATCTCGGCGATGCTTCTCAGATTGAAGTGACCAAACCTTTTGTGCCATAGGTTTGTACATGTTTGTGAAGTAATAGTGTAAGCCTGCTCAGTTATTTTCTCCCAATCAACTGAAAACATTCTGTTGCTCATCTTGACATAAAATAACTCTACTTCAGAAGGGTCAGAAACAACACATTCACGATTTTTAAAATGCAGAGAATAATTATTTTCAAGCATTTGTCCAACACTCAACAAATTTTGACTCATATCAGGTGTGTACAAAACATCAGTAATAGTTTTGATACCTGATATTGTTGAGATAGACACTGTACCTCTGCCTTTGACTTCTACTGCCTCACCGTTTTCCACTTTTACTTTAGATTTGTAAGTATCATCTAGGAATTTGAACATTTCAACATTATTGCACAAGTGATGTATGCAACCATTATCAAGAAGCCATGAATCAGAGGATTCACTGATTGAAAAGTATGAAACTGCAAATAGTTGCTCTTCATGTGCATCGTCAACTTTTGCTGCTTGTGCTTGCAAAGCCCTAGAGGCCTTTGCTCTTGATTTGCAAACCTTGGATACGTGTCCCGTCTGCTTACAGTTGCCACATATAGCATCAACTCTCCACCAACAATACTTCTCCAGATCTGTATTTCTTTTACAATGTTTGCAAGGAGGGAACTTCTGCTTCACATCTCCACTATTGTTTCCTCCATCATGCTTGCCCTTATTCTTTTGGTGGAATTGTTGCTTTCCTTTTTGCTTTTGTACAGAGAAAGCTCCTTCAATGAACTTTTCCCGTCTCATAGTCCTCCTTTGCTCTTGTGCTTGAAGAGCACTCATTAGTTCACCTAATGAAAGTTTGGTCAGGTCCTTGGATTCTTCAAGAGAGGAAATCTTAGATTCAAATCTCTCAGGAAGAGTCACAAGAACTTTCTCCACAATTCGTTTATCTGTAAATTCTTCACCAAGAAGTCTAATGTTATTAATAATTAAGGAGATTCAATCAACATACTTACTGATAGTTTCATCAACCTGCATATTCAAGAACTCAAACTCTCTTTTCAGGTTCAACACTTGCATTTGACGTGTTCTATCACTGCCTTGATATTCTTCTTTCAACCTATCCCAAGCCTCTTTCGCAGTTTTGCAAGTCATGATTTTGTAAAGCACAGTATCTGCCACAACATTCTGCATAAGCGACTTGGCTTTAGATTTCTTTGCCTTCTCTTCATTGTTGGATTTGATATGAGCCAAGGTAGGATTTGCTGGTAGAGCAGCAAGTGGTTTATCTTCCGTCACAGTTTCCCTAAGTTCATAGGCTTCCAAAAAAGCTTGCATCTTCATAGACCAGATTTGGTAATTTTCACCAGTGAAAGTGAATGGTGGATTTAAAGGTAGGTTGTTGGATGCCATTTGTGTTGTAGGTTAAAACTTTTTTTTTGTCCTGTAAGATCATCTAGAGGCTCTAATACCACTATTAGAACAAAAATACTCAAGAAACTGATTTGAAAAAGTAAAAATAGAGTGAACTTATGAAATTCCTTGTGTATATTAATATGCAGAAAGTCTAAATTTATACAAAGAAAAAACATAAACATTAAAACTAAAATAAGAACATGTGCCACTAACTACCATAAAAGGGGGCCACTAACAGCCATTATGGGACCACTAACTTCAGAAAGTTGAGCAACTAAAGTTGACTAAGTCTAGCTAGAAATAGGAAGCACTAAATTAAAATAAGTAAAAAACAGTAAAAATAATAATAAGCTGAAAAAATGCCAATTGTCTAACAGTTCTCAAACTTGAAATATGACTTCCTGTGGTCCCAGTCTTCAGATTGCAACATGATAGGGCAGTGGTCAGAAGTCACTCTGGGAATGATCAATTGTCTGATATTCCTGAAAGCTTCTTCCTATTTCGTTGAGTACATAAACCTGTATAGTCTGGAAGCACTGTGGAGATTAGCACCCCTTAAAATTATGGGCGGGTTGAGCGGGTTAGCTATGTTTGAGTTCATTTTTGACACTCCTAAAGACAATCAAGAAAGATGCATAAGTGGATATATAACCTACAGAAAGTAAGCTAATCCAACCAATTTTGCTTGTACAATGAAAAAGGTCACTGATTTATCTCTCCGGCGAGTTAAATTGGCCAAAGTTGTGCGTTCATGAACATGCTAAAGTTTCAATCAATTCCTGACAATATCCACACCGAGAAATTAACATAAATCCAGTAGTCCAAAGTCCAAACAAGATGTTCAAATAAGAACATGTCTTTTCTTCACCAGATCGATACTAACTTACCTACTCTTGCTTGTACCACATCTAAGAGGACGAGGCTTGATTCCCCGACCCATTACTCATTCTTCATAACTCAGAAATCATTGTATGTGTTTCGGGTTTCTCTATCGATTTTAGGCAAAGTACCCAAAATCATTGACCATATTTGGTATGGATTCCACACTTACACCCACGTCGTGTCAACATGAATGTGACATTGAAAGTGAAGAGTCCGAACAACTTAGCCAATATCACAATCACCCAAGTCATTGTCAGTCTATTTTATCATGAAAAGCACAATGGCCCTACCCCTCTAAAACATACTTCTATTGAAGCACCCTGCTTGCACCTTCATAAAAATCTCTTCTAAAACAACCATAACATAATTTCCTATTTCCTTCCTTTGTTTCTTTCCTTGTTTTTCCCTTTTGTTTTCGTCAGGTGCAAATATTTTTTTGGAGCCTTATATTTATAGTTGGGGTTGGTGTGGCAGTGGAACTGCACCTATATGCAAATTAATACACCTCAGTAGTGCAATTTATGTCATTGCTGAAGTGATCACATCAACTACATACTTTAGGCATTGGAAAATCAGAGCAAAACATTCAAATTTGATAGGCAATGTACATTTCACAAGGAGATGAAGGAACATATAATTTATAAGTAATACTTTTGCTTTCCTCGGGTCATTTTATCTCTTCGTTCCTTCATTCTTTTTTATGTAGAAATTGCTCCTGGGGTTAACCCCAAAAATTAGTTTAGGAAGGAGAATGCCTAAGTTCATATAAAAATATTGTAACTCATTCCCTTAATCCATATGGAACATGACACTCCCCTATGCCAGAACTGTAACTGGAGTATGGATAACAGAACATGGGCCCAACATTGAAACACACCAATAAGTTAACGATTTTTGCTCTGATACCAATTGAAAAAATGAATTGGAGTCTAACTAGGGATGACAATGGGGCGGTGTGGGGCAGGTTTAGTCAAACCGACAAAATTCTCAACCTGCCTTGCCCCGCATACCCCTTTTTTTTTCTATTGTTAACCTGCTCCGCCCCGCATAAACCCACCCCACTTATGTTTTTACTGCATTATGCATAGAGTAAGTAACTGTCGGTAAATTCACTGTTGCAGCTTTTCTTCTTCTTTATGTTATGTATGTATACAAATAAAATTCATAAGCTTTGTATCTCAAAATAAAGACAATTCTGATTTTTGCTCCAGCACTTTCATTTCATATGACTTTTTGTTTGGTCTTCTACAAATGATTTGAAATAGAGTTGTCGCCTAGAAAAAGATCATATTGCTACATTTTATTTACTTTTTTTTTAATCTCGCATGTGATATAAAAAAAAAACAAGTACTCTTGAACATTAACCATATGTTATACTCAACAGTATTTTAAGGCAAACACATGTAAAAGAGAAGAACCAATTCTATTACTGATGATGATTCCTTGTCCTTTTAAGTCAAAACAATGTAAAAAGGAAGAAGCGTTTCTATTGTCACTGGAAAAAAAACTCAAATAAATTTACCTTGATATTTTGACGATGATTCCTCATTTCCTTGTTCCACTTTATTTTTCCTCCGCCCTCGGTTGCCCATTGGTTTTCACCCGTGTGCACAATTTTAAAAAACTAAGGTTCCACCCCATACCGTCCTGCATTGCCCCGCACCCACATTGTCCCATTGCTATCCCTAGGTCTAACTCATCTCCTAAAGTTAGCTCATTTGGGGGGGGGGGGGGGGGGGGATTGTCAAAGTCTATACAAGGAAATCACAACATTTAGCTCATGAGGAGAGGTTAACTAGGGATGGCAATTGGGGGGGGGGATGGGTGTGCAAAATTTTTAATCCGCCCCGCCTAACTTTTATTTTTATCAACCCGCCCGGCCCGCATACTTTTTTAATATTTTCTTTTTCTAGTTAAGTTTGACACTAAAAATAAAATTTATAACAATAAATTTATGTTATCATTAAGTTGTATGAATTTAATCGGATTGTGACTTAAAATTTTGTTTTTAGAGGTCAATTGAAAAACATGTAAGAATTGAATTTTTTTTATTAAATCATTTTCATTTGTTATCTTAAATAGTTTAGTAGCTTTAAAGTAATTATCTTAATAAATAATGATATATCACTCTTATAACATGTAAAAATTAAGTTAAATTTAAACCCACATAAAAGCACACATACCCCCGCCCCGCCTCACCTCAAATCCCACCCACCTCACATAGCCTTAAACCCTCCCTACCTTGCATCCGCCCGCCCCATTGCCATCCCTAAGGATTACCCATTGCCATCCCTAAGGGTTGTCAAACTATCATTGTTTTGAAGGTGTTAACCGTGGAGGTTAGAGGACTCTTTTTGGGCTTGACGTTAGGTCTTTGAGATGGTGTATTACTGAATTAATCAATACTCAACCTGGTGGTATTGGTCAGAGGCCTGATATGTTATTTAGGGTATTATTTGAAAGTAAGTTGGCCTAATTTGTGTGGTATTGCACTTGTGTTAGTATACCATTTTGGGTTTTGATATGTTCTTACATGCATGGTTTCCAATGAAGGCAATTTGTATTGTAGAAAATTGCATGTTGTGTTAGCAGCTCAATCTGTATTCATATTATTATTGATGCTGTTTCAGTGAGCTAACTGAATAACATATTCTTTGTGTATAGGTATATCGAACACCGCTGGTACTTTGGCTGCGATAATTGGAACTGTTGGTGCTGGATTCTTTGTTGAACTGGTGGGATCTTTCAAGGGATTTTTGGTGCTTACATCAGTCTTGTACTTTTCTGCTGCTGTCTTCTGGAATGTATTTTCCACCGGGGAGAGAGTAAAGTTTGATGATTCCACTTTAGATTAATTTTTTGATGGTTTGTTTTCCTGTTTACTTCATCAGTCCAAAAGGATGGATAGGTGTATTATAGCCTTAAAAGTTTCTTTCTCAAAAGAGAAATGCAAGGACCGTAGTCCTTGTTCTCCATTATAACGATGTAAATATAGTCAAGTTCTATGAGATATCTGACGATAGTGTTGTTTTTAATTTTACAAGTTGGGAATTCACCACTAAACTTGCCTGGAAATGTAAATTAGTACCCCTGTGATGATTTGATGTGGCGAAAAAAGTTCAATCAATCCTATAATTGCATGTGGAAGTGAAAATAGAGTTGAAGAGTCCAAATGACATTTTCTAATTGGATGTTATAGATCAATCTTATTACATCAAAAATATTTTTAGATTGTTGAAGAATTGAATTTGTTATTGGAAGTGGTGTAACCTATCCTAGCATAGCTTTACAAAATGTTTACAGGATACTTTTGGAGCAACCTCTATAGGGAACTCAAAAAACATTAGTCCACCCCTCCTTATTTCACCCACACGAAGAAACAAGAATGGGATTTGAAAGTCTACATGAAATATCAAAAGCTTTGTTTGTAAAGCTTTGGTCGAACTTAAGAACCAAGTAATTTTTGTGGGAGAATCTATTTTTAAGCAACAAATACCTAAAGTAGCATCATGCAGTAGCAGCAACATATATCCTGAAGAAGATGGTAAAATGCAGGGAGAAAATTGAAAGAGACGTGGTATAGCTAGCCAAAAAGGATAACTCATACTTGTTGTGGCTAGACAATTGGATAGAAGTGAAAGCTCTGGGTTCTGGTTAATATCATTCCCATATGTTTTGATTATGACAAGACAATTGTACTAGTTAAGGAAACAGTTGAAGAAGGGTAGTGGCATATATTGACTCAGAGAAGAATTCTTCCTCAGTAATTAGCAAAATATATTCTAGGAAAGGTTAGCCCACGTAAAAAGGAGGATGAACAGACAATACTAGAGACAGGAACCAAGGAAAGATTTCATAGTGGGATCTGTATCAATTGATGAGACAAAAACGAGAGAGCAATAAGGTGCACAAGCTAATGTGGATCAAAGGTATTCTAATCAAAATCTCTTTTTTTTTCACGTGGAGATAATGAAAACCCGAACTACCTCTAGGTGACATTGTAAACAAGTGTGCAATACAATTTCCATCAAGATGTGATTGTTGTGAGGATCCTAAAGTAGAATGTAACTTCTCAAAAGTGTGTAAAGTTAGTAGGAAGTTGGGATGCGAAGATACAGTTGAAATATGTAAAAATATTCTAAGGCAAGGGTCTAGAAACGGGTTCACAGTCGGTGGAACGATCTACGGTCAGTGGAGTCATCCTTGGACCTGGACCCTATGAAAATATTCTAAGACATGGTATGAGTTCCCGGATGGTGGAAGGTCCACGGTCAGTGAAACCATCCTTGAACCTGATTTATGTGAAAAATATTCTAAGGAGGGGTCTACGGATGAGTTCACGGACATTGGGAGATACCACAGTCATTCAAGTCATCCTGGACCTGAGCCTTGTGAAAAATATTCTAAGGCAAGAGTCTACGGACGGTAAAACGATTAATGGTCCGTGGAAGGCATTTCTTATAGGGTATTTCAACAATTTTAAGTTAGGGCTATTTGGGTCTTTTCCCATTATTTTGTGCCTTACACGATGTCATTTTTACCTATTCTAAATAATATAAATGATTTTTGAAGGCCCCAATACACTTATTCCCTCTCATTCGCTCAAAAATATCCCAAAAGATCTCCAATATTCTTCTCCAAGTTCTCTTTGAAGGCTATCCCAAAAGATCTCCAATATTCTTCTCCAAGTTCTCTTTGAAGGCTTCAAGAGATTCATGGGATCTTCAAGCTCCAAGTCTGCTAATTCAATTCTAAAGCTAGATTTGTTTTCAAGGTCTATGAGAACTTCACAATGAATCTCTTTCATCTATTAGATTCCAAAAAAAACTCAAATTCTCCTTTGAATTCTACCCAATTTTCTAGGGTTTTCATGTGATTCTCCATGGGTCCAATTTATTTTGATTCAATTATTATTACTTGATCTTATTATACATGATTTAATTAAATTACATGTTTTCAACTGATTTCATATGAACTCATGCATTATTACTTTTATGATGACCATGAACATATAATTATGATTTTGGATTTATGCTTGTTTCATGAAATTAATTATTTATGAGTGAAGGATGTTTTTAAGATAACGTGGTAATGATTTCTGTAAGGTTTTCTCACATTTGAACGAAATCATGGTTTAGACTTTTACGAAGGTAAGTGTAGTTTGAAAGGAACTACTCTAATATGACTTATGATTGGATTGGTAGTCTTTAAGTTGTAACATGTTCAAGTATTTCGATACGAATATAATGATATCTTTCAATTGGGATTTACTTAGCACCAAGAAGACTTTGGAATGAAGGTTTTACCATTGGACGAGGTTTGGTCTTTAGCGGCAATTCCATTGTCCCAAACTACGTGCTCCAGTAGGATTGTCTTAAATGATCTTAATGTGAGGTTACATTAGATTCCATGTTATAACTCACATGATCTTATTGTGAGTTGATAGTAAACATCCCACAAATAAATTATGTTTTCTTCAAAAGTCTTTTCAAAGATTTTCTATGACTTTCAATATGCATTGACCTTGTTCATGATTTATGATTTCTCTTTAAAGGTTTTTTACTACGTTTTGTTTGGTCATCCATATTATGTTTAAGTTCATCATATTGTAATGCTTGTGTTTTTATGCACTTTCCTGTACTCACTACATTCAAAGTACTAATGCATATTATGCCTATATTATTTCATGATATAGGGTCTGACACTCCTCGTCCCTGACTTGGCTAGATCAGGATTACTCCACTACAAATTTGATTAGTCAATCCTCATGATTCGAGGGAAAGGCTATGGAAAGTTTTATTGCTTGACGTCTTTATAGTTTTCAATTTGTTCGTGACATAGGGGTTTGTCCTAGTCATATGATAGTAGAAGACTTATGTCAGACTTAGTATTATTCTACACATTCTTTTATTTACTCTGTTGGTATCTTTTATGTTATCGTATGAGTTGAGACTTATATTGTTGATATTTCTCATTTGTTTTATTTCAATACATCAAGTTTTGTTAACTGACTTGTTTAGAATTTCTCGGGGTCATTCTCCATGTCATTTAGGGTGTACTTTGGATGTTACAAACTTAGTATTCATAATATGAGGTTTATAAAGGTTTAGGATGTCTAACAAGCCGCGTCGAGTAGAGTCTTTTTCATGAGTGTGAAATGTGTTACATTTATAAATAGAAGGGTACATGTGTTTAGGAAACTTCACTTCTTTAATTACTCTTAAGTCATACCACAAAGTTTAACTCTATAAAGGTATTTCTTCTAACTCTAGTTTGATGCTTTTCAGGACAAGCCTCCTCAAAGAACTAACACAATAAGGAATACGGTAACAATGTAAAACTCGAGGTTCCTTAAGTGGTGGTCAATCCCTTGGTCGAACAAGTGTCACATGGTAAGTTTTGAGTCATTTTTGAAGTGTTGGCTCAATCTATAACCGCTTAAGCTTATAAAAAGGTTATTTCTCGCTTGAACCCGAATGTGGGCATGGCATCAACAAGGGTATAGGATTTCACGATGAATCCCTAGAGTTTCATGGGTCAAAAGTTGAGGAAAAGCCTCAAGATTTCATTAAGGAAATCCACAAGATCGTAGAGATTATGGTATTTACACCGAAGGAAAATGAGTACTTGGACGCTATGAACTTAAGAGTGTTTCTCAAGTATGGTTCAATCAATAGAAAGAAGATAAGGTAATTGATGTAGGTAATATTGATTGGGAAAAGTTCAGAGGGGATTTTCTTGATAGTTTCTTTCCCCCCGAGACTTGATTTCGTCAATCTTCAACAACGGAACATGAGTGTGAACGAGTATGCATTGAAGTTCACTCAATTGTCAATGTATGCTCCTACTATATTTGTTGAATCTTGGGCAAGGATGAGTAAGTTTGTATTGGGTGTGTCCGAGATGGTGGTCAAAGAATGTCGAACCACCTTGTTTATCAAGGAGATGGATATCTCTCATTTAATGATACGTTCCCAATAAATCAAAGATGAAAAGCTAAAGTAGAAGGATAGAGAGTGAAAGAGGGAAAGGATGGGTGTTTGTGACTTCTCTCATTCTAGGTCCGATGGACATGGATGTTTTTAGTTCCGACAAAAGTTCTCTAGTCAAAATTCCTCAAACTTTTTGTCTCAAAAATTTAACAAAGATAGGGTGCCAAACCCTAAGACTAAAGGAGGTTGTGGCAGAGGATCTTCTCTTCTTGCTTTCCAAAAGAGCGACAAGAGTCACCTGAGGAAATGCTTAGCCGGAATGGATATTTCTTTGGTGGAGTTTATGTACAGCAACAATTACTACTCTACTATATAGATGGAGCTCGTTCGAGAACTTATATGGTAGGTTTTCTCGTTCTTCAGTTGGTTGGTGTGAATCATCATAGCCTAGTCTGTGTGGTACTAATTTACTTCATGAGGCTTTAGATCATGTGTATGTGATTCAGGATACGCCCAAGACAGCTCAGAGTAGGCACTAGAGTTATGTCGACCGTAAGCGTCAACATTGTGGTTTGGAGTTGATGACAGGGTATTCCTTACTGTGTCATCCATGAAGGTAATGATGAGGTTTGGAAGACAGGGCAAGCTTAACCTAGGTATATTGGGCCTTTTGATATCATTTATACAGTCGGTGATGTCTATGAAACCTCTAAAATGACTTAGGTGAAACTAGAGACTAACATGGTTATCATGAGGGTCTAAGGTCCTAAAATGGTTTATAATGTGGTTGTGAGGTAGTGTCTAAAGGTTTAGGTGAATTGGAAGTCAAATGTCAAGGGACGTCTATGACGTTTGACGACTAGTCACCTATGTGCCTCATGTGTCTATATATGCTTATATGTATCTCTCATAATCTTATGAGGTCCCTATATGAGTTATAATTGTGTTTATAGTCAGTGTGTCAAGTTTCATGAAGTTTGGAGGTCAAACATCCAAGAACGTCCATGACGTTCGAAAGGTTTGCCTTGAAACGACCTTGTGTGTCTTGGCATGTTTCGTCAAGTTTTATGTGTTAGTTTTGGATGAAATTGATACGGGAGGTCCTAAAATTGTATATGATCATATTCAGGTTAAAAACATCTGGGAAAAAAGTCCCCAAGGACCAACCAAGGATCCTTGAGGAAAGGCTCATCTTTGAGCGAAAGGTTATCA